GGCTGGCTTCCCTTGCCTCACAATCCAATCAAATCGCATCAATTTAGTGGTGCAGTGACGCGTCCCAAAAAGCGTATTATTGGCTTCCCCTAATTTTTTCCCCACGCCACGCTACTGGTGGTCACGTTTAAATGATGTATATGAAGCACGTCATCCACGTGCACTTTTGTCTGGTGAACCAATTATGAGGTGATATTTTTGAGTCAAGTTCCTTTTGTTCTCCTTTAGCTAGCGGATACTTGGATCAAAATGCTATAGGAGTAGATATCTGGTGTAAACTAAACATTGCATGTACTGATTTGACTCAGCCCAGAAAAAAGGAAACCATGACTTAGCTTACAAAAGTTTATTGCAATATTCAAAGTCACTTGTTTGTTTTTTTAAATATCTAGCCTGTCTGCATCTGGAACTGCACAAGTAATATACATGCTTATCATTGCTTGTCACAGCATTTTTGTTTGAGACTAAACCGTAAATGAAAAACCAAAACTAGCTCTTTAATTCGTTTTTAGAGCTAGTTTTTACGCTTCATTTAGAGTCTAATTGAAGCGTAAAGCCTTACTTTGAAAAGGGTGATTATTTATTAATAATAATAAAAATAGACTTATTTTGTTAGCGCTTTTACAGGTGCTCAAAGTCGCTTTCCAGAGATAGTGAAAAGAAAAGAACAAATACATATAGTAAAGTTAGATAAAAATCAAGCAATACAAAAACAATCACACATTAAAAGCCAAATTGAAGAGACAGAGTTCCTTTGAGTGAAACAATTAACAACATTTCAGTTACACACAGATGATTGAACAGGTGGACTGTTGCTAGCGCCAATTTGTATGATCTAAAAAAAAATCTAATCAATATAAATAATTGTTTTCATTTTTCATTCAATAAGTGAGGCGTATATAGTGTAAAATATATAACTATAGCTGCTATGTCATTGCCTTTGTATTTTTGTCCTTTGCTTCTTTGACTTTTGGGCATGTCATATTTGAATGGCCCTTGTGCTGATAAATACAGTTCCTTTGGTATCTGGAGTGCTCACCATATGTGAATGTATTAAATGTCTATATTACAATTGGGAAAGCAACGTTTTCCATTCCACTAAGACAGAAATCGGGCCAACTTTTGTGTTTTTAATATAGGTATAAAATGTCACTGAATTTTTCATTTTGCATTATAAGAATGTAAAAACGTTGTACGCTTCTTGAAGAAGTTACTAATACCTTACAGTTCAGAAGAATACTCATTGTGAGCAGTGACAGGGCCAGATAGGCATTGGTCGTATCTATGGCTACGACTAAGGTCTGAAATACTATTTGGCAGCGTGTTTCATCATTCAAAGCCCTGTAATGGTGCAGACTTGATGTGATAATCGTGACATTTCACAGTTCCTATCTCCTGATGTTAGCAAGTCTGAAGGGCTGATATTGAGGTTCAGGAACAGGACTTTTCATGGACACCCAATCAGATTACCTTTGCACATTTTGGTTTCCAGATTGAACAGACTCTGATTTCTGTTTTTCTTTCATGCTCCTGAGGGGTTGAACAATTTTTTCATATTTTTCATGAGGGAACATAATTCATAATGTAGGCTATAGAGAATGGCTTCAACATTTTGCTGGCATTTTGTCGTTTAGACTTCACTATGTTGGGCGCAAGTCTGCATTTATTCTTCATTGCATCACATTATCGTTTAGGAAACAATTTGAAGAAATGGCAGCTTAGATAATACGAGAAAAAAAGAGACTTAAATAAAATCATGCTCTAGATTTGTTAAGATAAGAGTAATCAACATTCTGAAAATGCCAAAAGCTTCCATGGGAATAACAAGAGTTCATTTTTTAGTTATATCCTTTTTTGCTATGTCTTAAAACACTTTTTTTGTGTAATTTCCCCCCAAATACAATTATTCTTAATTATGTTATATTAAAAATGAAGTCAATTATTCCTGCTTTTCCAGTCCTTTGCACCCCTAGTGAAGATTGATGTGATACGGAAACAGCAAATTATGGTGACTGAAGCTAAAAAGAAACTAGGAGTGATTTCTCACTATTGGGAACCTTGACAGGTGTAACATTTAACATTTTATTTGAAATCGGCTGTTTTCTGTAAATGCTAAACCCATGTCTGTATTCAGACTTCGCCTTTCAGATTAAACTGCTGCCATTATGAGAAGGTGACCCTGTGCCTTTGGTTATTATGGTTTAATCAAAGCAGTGATTATTTGAAAAGCCACATACCAAAATACCCTATATCCTGGTGGAGTACATCTGCAGTGCTGAGAGCGTGTTTGCCCAGTAGGGACTGCCTCAATGAATAATTGTCACCTGGATGTGACCCGTTGAGATGGGGAAGGTCTCACTGGGAGGATATGACCGTGGAGAGGAATGCCACCGAATGTTCTTTTTTTTCCAAAAGCCTATTCATCTTTTGGTGGTGCAGGATTTTTTGCCTCCCTTTCTCTTTAAATGTTTACACTTTCAACATGTCTTGATTAAGTTATGTATCTCCATAGTAAGCCGTCCCATCCTTAATTACAGTTAGCTTAAGCTAGATTTGGATAGGCTTCAGTACTAATGGGTAGTAGTTAGGTTGGTCTTTCTATTGGTCATTTAAGTTCTGTTGTGGAACACATACCTTTTAATAAGAAATACATTGTTAAACCTTAATTGAGAACACACAAATACTGCAAAACCCCCTGAGGGCTAAATAATTATTTAACAGTAATGATTTGAACATAAAGGATTTTGGTGCCAGACTGTAATGAGAGCATCATAATAATGTGTCTATTAGTCAGAGAAATGTGGTGGGAACATAAGCCTCATGACATGTAGCGGGAGGCATTATACTGCAGAGAACAAAAGCCAACAGAAAATAATGTATTTTAAATGAGAATAACATTAATTAAAATAATTAAGAATGAAAAAAATTGTAATTCTAAATGACTGACCTCTTACCTTATCTTTGTCAGTGACAGATATAGTTTGCTGATCATTTAGTATTCCTGTTATTCACACTGTGTTGTTCACTATCTAAGAAGACGAATGTCACAGTGCCCTTTAACTGTTATATTCCAAATTGCTTGTAAGTGTATATGCTGCAGGTAGACAAAGCTTTAGTATATGTAGAATACGTCCATACATATGCCTGGTCCTGTATCTTTTTATTAAAGATTGTTCAGAATTACATTTTTTCTTTGCTTCAAACCATAACAGTTAACCAATATTCTCTAGTTTCTCTTGTACTATACATTGAGCACTGAGATGTGCTTTTAAATCCAGTCTGACCTTGTTCCAGACAGATGGAGTATTCAGCCAGAAACACCTTGCTCCACGGGCAGAGTAGTGCGAGCGGCAGCAGCTTCAGTCTCACACTGCCTGCTTTCAACCATAGAACTGCTGTCGAGTCAAAACAATACTGTCGAGTCAAGTCAAAACAATACACTTCCAGACTTGAAGTGATAACATACACTTGTTTTGTAAAAAAAACAGCCGAATCTGGCCGGTGAGAAGCATGAGAGATTTGTGATAGGAAAACATGACTGATATAGACGGTGTCCAACTGAAATGAAAATAAAACAGACACAAACATAAATTGGCACTTGTGTTCACTTACTGTGACAAAAACACTTAAGACAGAATACTAAAGGTGTGAAAGGCAACACTGTCCGAGCATCTCCTTGGTTTTTATACCGTCAGAGCATCAATTGAACTGTAAATACTTTGAGCAGCATCTTGCATTCTTCTTAGAACTCGTGTCCACATAACACTTCCCCAGTGTTCACAAAGTGAGAGTACACTCATTTGCCCAAAATTGTTGTGTGTTAATATGTGTATTTGCTCAGAAGTACATGTCCTGGAAGAGGCTTTGTCCCTTTTCAATGTAGGCCTCCTTCTCTTGTGCAGACATCTTCTCCACCAGCTCTGGCCTCTGGCTGACATCCCGGTAGGAGTACTGCCGACCCCCCACCATCACCATCGGCTCATCTCCCACATCCTCAAACTCATCATCGTCATCTTCCTCCTCCTCTGCGGCCCGAGACTTAGCAGCTGACGCGATTGGAGGAACTGCGGGAGAGTCGTCGTCCGATTCGCTGGTGTCGCTGTCCGAGTCGCTGGCGTTAGCCTTTCCAGAGGAACGACTCTTGGTGGCAGAGCTGGCTCCACCTCCAGCTCCTCCCACTGCCGCTGCACCCCTCTTCTCATGGATGAGCAGGGCGCGCATCACTTCCTCATTTTCATCTGACTGATCCATTCCAGCAGGTGCTCCATCAGGGGCTACGGGTACCACGTCGTCTCCTGTTCAAACAAAACCATAGCTTATCAATATTACAAATATATTAAATACTGTGATTATTCTCTTTTTCCTATATACAGTATTTCTTAAATTGTGCCAAGCCCCGAGGAAGTAGGGGCTTGGTAACACATTTTGATAATGGGCAAACGGTGGTACTACAACTTCTGTGTCAGTAGGCCCAAAAACACTTTTCCCCATTGACTTATATTGGGAAAGAGACATAATTCAGTAAATCAGTGGATATTTAATTTGTGCTAATAAAATAACATGTATATTCTAATAGCCCTTATTTAAATCATTCTGTCCTGAAAGTGGTGGAAAATGCCATTGATTGTGTAATTCTTCTTCTTCCTTCATTTGACTGAGCCGCGATCTGGCTTGACGCTGCTGTGACGGAGCGGATTGGAGGCAGGGCTTAGGGAAAGGGCGATCGTTCATGCTCTATCACCGGTTGATCCATGGAAGATACAGGAAGGATTCAGGTATCTTTGTAGAGACAGGTCATTTTGGTTTCATGCACCATTGAGTAACTTTCACCGGAATGACAGAGCCCCGCCTCTAACGCTGTATCTAGTTATTTTTATAAATAATTGACTTCTTGCGGCTAAGTATCTGAACAATATCTGTGTTTAAACCAAGTCCATTCTAAATGTGTAATGTCTATTTCCAGACTCTGAACATCTAACATCATTGCAGACGGGCGCACAGAAACACACCTCAGAGACAGGACGCTGGGAAGGCATAATTCATGCCATTTCCCCAGAAATGGACTTTATTAATGAGTCATCCTTGCTCAGCCATACACTAATCAAGCCTCTGATTATTTCAATTAAGCAATTACGGTTCACTGAGAGTCTGGCCTGGCCTGACTGCTGCATGCCCTTGGGGGTGGAGAAACAATGACACAATAAGACAGCTGTGTAGGACCACTCTGAGAGAGGGTGATAACCTGTAATGTTGACCTGTAAGAGCCTGGTTTGACCACAAACGGAACACGGAGTGGAATTTAAGGTCATAGGAGAGGCGTGTCTCTTGAGACGAGTAAGGTCTGTGCATTTAGCAAGCCTCATCATGGACAGGCAAGAGCATTTTTAATTAAGGACATGAAAGCAGCGTAGGAGGGGGAATTCATTGTCAATTCTAACATCTTCTGACTCATGGAGTGTTGGAAAACGTGCTTCTGGGAAATAGGCTTAAAATAGGGAAAAAATGTCTGTACAATGTGGCAAATTGATCATATTCTGTTTCATTTGCACTAGTTTATTTTCATTTCTGTATTATTATTATTATTATTTTGTATATATAAATATATATATATATAATATGTTGCATTGTTGGAGGACATTTTCATTGCCATAACTATACTGTAGCTACGGTGCATATGATAATAAAACCCTTGACTCTTGAATCTCATTACTTTCGGTTCTGAATGAATTCAGCTTTTGTTTAGGTCGTTGATATGTGAAGGAAACATTTTTCACACACTGAAACTTACCACAGTATAAAGAAAGGCTTGACAGCTACATATCTGGGAACTTGAAAGAAAACATCACTTACGGCTCTTGATGACTTCTGGCTCGCTGTAAGCGCCCGTCACGGTGCTCTGGGTCAACCATACGGGCCTCTCCTTGGGCGCCTTGCCTTCATTGGCCAGTCTCTGCTGCTCTTCCTGCTCCTCCATGCTGATCACCACATTCTGGGTGTACAGGTCACCGTAGGACGAGCCTCTGTTGGACCAGGCTTCACGGTGCGGACCAGTCATTCCAGCGGCTAATGCAGCACGTTCCCGGCTGGAGGAGAGATTCAGTAAATATCCTTTAAACAATTATCTCCAACAGTGCTTAAAAATGTAGAATAGAGAGTGATAAAGGGCAAGCTAGAAATGTTTCATTACTGCAGCGTAATAGAATAGAATTCCACTGTGGCACAAACAGTCAGTGGATACAGTATCACTGAGGCTATTCCTGCTGTTAACAGAGGTGAACCCCCATTTGTTTTCAGTAAATCTGCTCAAGGATGTGACTCTTGAGGATTGGCGTAATGACTTCTGAGGGGAATATGTTTTTATGAGTAAAAAGTAGAGGTTGGTTAGAAGCTCACCTCTGTCTGAGGGCGGGGATCTCAGCGGGCTCCGGCTCCAGCAGGTCCTGGGACAAGTTGACATCTTCGGTCTCGCGTAGCAATGCGTAGATGGGTTCGATCTGCTCGTTGAAGCGTGCCACCTGTGTCCTGCCGTCAGAACACACCGACGCATCCTCTTCTACCTCCGTCTGGCAGAAGGTGCAGCGAAATGTACCTGAAGGTTAGGAGAGAACCATGTTAAATAAAAGCACCATGGAACTTATCTGGCCAAAGCACGTACCCCTTTCCAAGCTGTTTGACAGAATACCTTTGTATTGCTTTGAAGACCTAACTTACATTTCTGTTGGTAAAACTAGTCAAGGCGAATCTCCTTATCCAACCTCTTTTCAAAACAACCAATCAGTTTATCTTTTCCTTCACCTCTACAAAGCAGCTAAAGATGCATTCAATATTGACTGGACTGGACTGGACTGTGGAACAGAACAGCAGCATGTGCAGCAGCATGGATGCTAACGTACAAAACTGACCCTTGTGACATGCAGCATGACGTAATTTGGGTCACATTAACTTACATATGTAAGCCGAAAGTATGAAATTGCTTTTACCAACAATCCTGGGACATGCATATAGGTCCATTTGTTTTATTTTTACCATGGCTATACAGTTATTTCACAAAAACCATTTGCAGAAGTTAGCCCACTTGGGAATGTGAACCACCAAACACACCATTATAAACATGTGTCTTTCCTGTATAAAATCTCTCACACATTGCATGAAAAGGGCTATTCAAGAGGTTAAAGGTATGCCACAATAACACGCTGCTATTTGATGGAATTCAAGGGTTTAATATATGCAACTATAAAAAAAACTGCATTGTTAATGACAGTGCAGGCAGATTTCTTCAGGGGATAATCTTTGCATTGGGTGGTATTTTCAAAAGCTTGTGGACCTGCTCCCTACCAGAGAAGGGCATGATGGGCCATCTGTTTCTCTGGCCAATTTCAGTTTTTCGAACTGCTCCAGCATTATACAGAACCCATGCCTGCCATGCGTGTTGTATGTGTGTACCACAATAGAGACAGCAAGAGAGACATCAGAGCAACTACAGGTAAAAGGAGATAGATTGTAAAAGAAAGCCACATTTTAGGCAACTGTTTCTCAGGAGAAACCTTTGGTGGACCTACATGTCAGTGTGAGAGTCCTACAAAGAAACAGGTACAGTCACACAGCAAGGTGTGAAAATTCAAAGCCAAAGGGTTTCAGCCCTGCTTTGTGGGTCAGAATGAGCTAGAAGAGCTGCTATGTCATTTCCTATTCCTTCGAGGTCAAACTGAGTGTTGCTGGCCCTGAAGAAACAGCCAGTCCATCAGACCTCCACTGTGTGAGCTCCAGTTATTCTTTCTGTCAGGGTGCAGGGTTACAGCCTGCACAGCATGATTTAATACCAGTATGTTGAAACAAGAGACAAAGTGTGAGAAAAAATATGCTAGATTTTATAAAGGTGTCATCACAAAAAAGTCAGGAACCAGGAAGCTGACTTTTCCGTCATTTCAGTTATAATATCAATTTCTAGCTTCTAGATTTACATCTTGTCCCTAAAAAAAAAAAGTGATATATGCCTGCATGCTTACTTTATTATAGAATACCTAAGAAGACATTAGCATGTTGTCTAAGGATCTGGGGAGTCCATTATGTTATATTATATGATTTTGGTGTATTATAACGTTTATAATAATAAGTAATCGTAGGAAACATAATTATTAAACCAGTTCATGTTGGCATATATGTAAAGATGAATTTGTCGGCATCATAGTCAAATCAACTACATAAGAGATTTCAATATAAAGGCCCAATCCCAAACCACACACTACACACTACCCCTCCGTTTGCACGTTCGCGCGGAGGGTCCGCCACATTAAGTGCTGTTCCAAACCAACGAGTGTGCAGCGGTGTGGAGGGGGAGTGGGCTATCAAGCCCTCAAACAGCGAGTCTGCAGCGGTGCTGACTTGAGACCGGTCTCTACCTGACCGGAGTAAACGCTGTGTGTGTCCGTCAGGAAACACGCTGTTTACAAGTAGTTCCAGCAAACATCCACTGATAAATTGCGATGTTAACAACCTCATGATAACCTCATATGTTTTTACCTTAGGATCATACCTGTGTTTAGTCTAGAAAAAGGCAAATGTGTGCATTTTATTATAAAGTTGCGTATACAGACTGTTGCAAAACCTAAGAAGCTTATAAACATCAGGTTCAAACCTAAAAGAGCTTTACAAAAAAGTAATACAATTAAAGATGTTTGGAGTAATTTTTTGTCTAAGAGATGCTGATTTGAAACCGTTGTTACATACAGTTATGGCATTTCCTGTTTCTGCCGGAGAGAGGGGAGTTTGTCCCAAAGCTTGCCGCTGTATCTACTCCCTCCATCTGACAGGAGGGAGCCTCGTTGAGCTGCGAGTGTGGCTACAGACGGAGTTCACTCCGTCACGGAGGGGTAGGGTGTAGGGCGTGGTTTGGGATTGGGCCAAAGACACATTACATCCCTTAAAAATCTGGTCTCTGCTGACATCAAGTGGTTAAACCTATCGCTTTGCTGCAGGCGAGTATATATGGACTCTGGACATCACTGTTGTCCCCGAGTCCACCTGTCAGTGGTTCTGCGTGAGGTCAAAGGTTAAACAGGCTTTAAACATTCAACCGGAGATGGGAGCATAACACTAGGCTTTAGACTGATGCCGCATTTCAAACTCTTGTGTGGCAGAAGTACTCTGTGTAGCCTAGCAACAGTGCTGGCTGACCGGTGAGCAACCTTCATATTGGCAGACAATGCGAGCACAGTTGGTGCTTGATTGTGACCGACTGACAAATGAATGCAGTTTATGAATGAACACAGATTTGAGTAAGGGCTCTCTTTAAAGACACATGCCTTATCACAAGCATTGATATCCGTTTAAAAGTACATATTCATGTTAATCTGCCAAACAACCTAAAGTAAACCTGTATCATCATTATTCAGATACTAAATGAGTGTTTGACAGCTGGCATCAGATTTCACTTCAATGATGTTGTTGTGATAACAAGTCATTTGAAATACGCTTAAAGACATGTGGAAGCATTGTACTTTAAGAGAATACAAACTTTAAAAAGGGCTCTTAAAACAACCCAAAAAGTATTAATTCACCTCTTTAAAAATTGGACAGATTAGGCAAACTAGCAGATATATGAATTGGAAAATGTTAACTTGTTGATAAAGTATCCTAGGTTGACTACATGTATATACAGTGGGGCAAAAAAGTATTTAGTCAGCCACCAATTGTGCAAGTTCTCCCACTTAAAAAGATGAGAGGCCTGTAATTTTCATCCGAGGTATACCTCAACTATGAGACAAAATGAGAAAAAAAAAAAATCCAGAAAATCACATTGTCTGATTTTTAAAGACTTTATTTGCAAATTATGGTGGAAAATAAGTATTTGGTCAATAACAAAAGTTCATCTCAATACTTTGTTATATACCCTTTGTTGGCAATGACAGAGGTCAAACGTTTTCTGTAAGTCTTCACAAGGTTTTCACACACTGTTGCTGGTATTTTGGCCCATTCCTCCATGCAGATCTCCTCTAGAGCAGTGATGTTTTGGGGCTGTCGCTGGGCAACACAGACTTTCACCCCTCCAAAGATTTTCTATGGGGTTGAGATCGGAGACTGGCTAGGCCACTCCAGGACCTTGACTCCCTCCAAAGATTTTATAAGGTTCAAATAGGCTACAACTACTGTCACAA